TTCATTCTCGCTACATAAGATACCTGTCTGTTATGTAGTGCCCTGTTATACTGCATTACTGTGTAATATTTATGGTTTCTATAGCCGTGGCATCATTATGATGGTATGAAGAGATGGATTAATTCATGTAGGACGCCACTGAAGGCCTAGGTGTAAAATGCACGGCCCGCCACTGGTTCTTATTATGTAACCTAGCAAAGGTTTTACATGTGTGAACAAAAACAATACATAATGGGTTATCTCACAAAAACATGAAATCAAATACAGTGCGTTGGGTAATAAGCATCTACAGTCTTGATAATATCTAAATTATATACATATATAAAAATAGGTTAAGAGTGAATTATTGTCCTGCATGAGAGCACACACTATATGTTCTTTACTTCAGTGCATCATTATGCAAATCAGATTGACATTATGCATGCTCATTTGAATAGGGCCACACCCTGATTTTCTCATCTTGACAAACTAAATGCTTGGATGTTATTACCCATCCCAGAGAGCGTGAGGACGCATTGTGTTTAACAATCAGTTAAATTTGCTCTTTCCACAGCAGGGGACGGAAAAGCTCTTTCTTTAATTTGCTACATCATCCCAGACTAACAATCACATTCTCTTTTTCAGAAAATGGTTCCTCTAAATTACTGAGTGTGCTTGCTACAAGCTCTAGGGCCTTTCTTCTCCCAGTTTCCATGACAACAAAATGACATGCCCAGCGTCTCTCCATGTATGTGAGAGAGAGATGAAGAGAGAGAGAGAGAGAGAGAGAGCGAGAGAGAGAGAGGGGAAAATGAAAACAGGCACAAAGATGAAAGGAGAATGTTAAAAAACAACAAAGAAAAGCCAATAAGAGAGAGCTGACAACAACCCCAATGCTTACTCCCCCAGAATTCCTAGGAAAACAGGGACAGTGATTCATGACTTTATCCCATTCCAGTTTAGACCAACATAAAGGAGCTAAAGCAGGTGATGTCATTAATTCAGCTGGCATCATCATCACCCAGATCATTGCCAGTTTAAAAGAGGGAATTTCAAATTTGTTCACACCACAATTTTTCTAGTATCTTTTGTCAGTTTTTATATTTTCTTTTAGTCATATATATATATATATATATATATACATTGCATTGCACCCAAAAGTACAACCTCTTCTCTAAGGTGCAGTGTATGAATTAATAATTGCATTATATTAATCAAAACTCACCATGGCAATGACTGCTGCTCCAGCCCCAGCCAACGCACACACAAACAAATGGAAAGTCATATCCAGCTTTCAGAAAAAAAAATATTGAGAGAGAAATTAGTCTTGGATTGCTTTTCATTGTGGAAATGACCTATACAATCACTTGATAACATGGCTTACGTACCTCATTCGATTCACACATTTTGTAGAACTTCTCTGATCCTGCACATACAGTCTTCTCCTCTCCAATGGGCACAACACCTAAAATAAATAGTTTTTGTGATTCCTCTGAAACAATCTGTGTTTTTAGGGTATATGAGGTTATAGGAATGTACATTACACTTTTTTAATTTGGATAACTACCAGTAAAAAAGAACAAAATTACAACACAAACAAAAAATTATCATTGAAACATTTTTCCTTGTACAGTTAAGCACACCTAATCATCTGGCACTGAATCACACAGACTGTAAACATACCAAACTGGCGCGGGTCAAGACATAAACTTGCTCCCTCCAGAATGGTCATGTTTTGGCAAATGGTCCAGATGTTGAAGTACATGAAGACAGGCAAAGAGGTGAATGCTGTCACACCCAGCCAAGCCAACATGAAGATGTATGTCAACATGATGAACTGAAGAAAAAGATATCCAAATGTCAAATCAAGAACTAAATTATAAAATCATTAAGAATAAAAATTATAAGCATTATAAATTAATATAAGTGATATAAATCAATTACAGTAATTGCAACCGCACAATATATTTCATGTTTCACTTGGCACAAATGAGGGGAAAATAACTTGCAGAGTTCACTATGTACTGTAATCTTTTATAGCCTATAAACGGATGCCATATTTATGTGCGGCAGTTACTCTTAGTGGCTTTGCTGTTGTCCTTTCTAAATTACAATGCATGAAGCTCTCCCAGTGATTTCTCACCCATGCACTGACACAGCGCCCACAGTTGGTGATCTTGAAGTCTCCATACAGGTCCTTGATGGCCCCACTGGTAAAGAAGCCTTCGACCATCAGAAGAATGCCATATACGAAGAATGCAGAGGCAATGCCATAGATCACATACTTGATAATGTCAATACTGTGTGGAAAATGGAGGAAATAAAGTCAATAATTGTATGAGACAGTATGTACATATATATATATATATATATAGAGAGAGAGAGAGAGAGAGAGAGAGAGAGAGAGATTCATACATTTCTAAATTATTTAAATGCACTGCAAAAAACATTTTCAGTATCTTCTCTAGTTTTCCAGTAAAACATAAAAATCCTCTCTCTCTCACACACACACACACACACACACACACACATTTTTTTAAATAATTTATATTATTATTAATAATAATTGCTTTAACCATTAACCTCAGTAATTTTGGTTAAATTTAGGGGAGAATGTGGCAAGATGAGCCAGTGATTCAAATGAGCCACTCCTTGTATCTAGGTAATTATAAACAAAAGTAATCATGTTCAACATATTAAAGTAGTATCATTCACATTACTCAAACCATCTTGGACTCAAACACATGGAGAGAATTATAAGCAAACTAGAGGGAAATTGTCATGTCAAGTGAAACAATCATATTACTAAAGTTTTATATATGAATTAAAATAGATCATTTTGGGGAATTATTACATGTTAATTTAAAGGAGTCATATGATGCTATTTCAATTTTTCCTTTCTCTTTGAAGTGTTACAAGCTCTTGGTGCATAAAGAAGATCTGGAAAGTTGCAAAGACTAAAGTCTCAAATCCAAAGAGATATTCTTTATAAAAGTTAAGAGTCAACCACGCCTACCTAAAACGACTCGTTCTAACACGCCCCCACATGTCTACGTCACAATCTGGGAAGATTTGCATAACGCCGCCCAGATGTTCACGCAAAGAAAGAAGACGTAACTTTTATTCTCGCTGTTGTATTGTTGCTGCCGCAATGTCGTGAAGACGCTGTGTTTCGTTGTGAAAGCGAAACTACTTTGTTTGGCCTTTCAAAAGAGGACGATATCCGCTTCCTCATTCCTGGATCTGATCCGTGCTGGTCGCTGAGGAAACCGGATCGGCTTTCACCATGGACGAAGTGGTGTCCAGCCCAGGGTCGTCACATGTGGTTGCCGCAAGCCTGCCGGCCACTTCTTCGTCGAATCTGCCGGCCGCACTGTTCTTAAGCCCACCCACCACCGCTCACTCTAGCTGCAGGCCTCCACTCACTCTAGGCCGCCGGCCTGAAAGCAAAACTACTTTGTTTGGCCTTCCAAAAGAGGACACAACTAGAAATCAGTGGTTCCCTTTCGTGGAACTTCGAACTGCATCCTCTAGGGGTCGCTATGGGGGGGGGGGGGACGCCTGGTCGTGCACTGTGCCATTTCCATCACACGCTTGAGGTATTCGGCCAATCACAACACAATGGATAGCTGGCCAATCAGAGCACACCTCACTTTCCAGACCGATGAGCTTTGTAAAAATTTACGCGTTTCAGAAAGGCGGGGCATAGAGGAGAAACAATCATGTACAGTATGTGGAAAATAATGTGTTTTTTGAACCTTAAACCGCATAAACACATTTCATTACACCAAAACACAAAATAATGTTCTTTTTAGCAACATCATATGACCCCTTTAAAGGCACAATATGTAATTTTTGCCACTAGAAGGCACGTATTCAAAACAAACAAAGGCGTAGTTAGATGATGCCGTGACTGAGTGTGGAATCATGGGAGTTGTCGTCTTCATCCCCACAGCCGAAGCAATCCGATGGGGCTCGGGCAGAAATCATGTTCATGGATGAGCTAATGTATTAAAGATTTATTAACGTTGTCCGCAGGATTTATTAACGTATAACCGCAGGGTGAGGCGGAAAGTCGTCGAAGCAAAAGAGGCTGCTGAATGAGCGTGACACACGGCTCGAAAGCAGCGGAGCTTTTATTATGCCACAGTCGGCCGCTTCCGCTTCTTCTGGAAAGCAGCGGAAGTAAGCAGCGCTGTTTTATCATACTAGATACATTTGAATGTCCTGCTATAATGCTACTCTGTGCGGTCGTCACCTGTCTAATAAAAGGCTTAGCATATTAAAGCGTCTTTGGTGTTTCCATGTTTTCTACAAAACCGGAAATTGAGGGGTTATGACGTCATTGGCAGGCGACGCAATGACACTATAGACACGGTCCGTGTCACTAGTTAAAATTGCTTATTTCTCTGGATTTAAACATTCTTAGAAACATTTGGGATAATGTAAGTACACAAGTCAGCAAAATATATAAAACTGTACTAGTGGTTTTTGGATATTTTAATAAAAAAATCTTACATATTGTGCCTTTAAGCCAGTGTAAACTACGAAACATGTACATAAATTTTGCATAATTATGGATTTTAGCTCCTATGCAAAACAGTTTTGTCAAAATGGAGGTTTGTGCCAGTAATATTGTAGTCTCAGCCTCAGACGTCACGCCCACGGACCGTCTGATGCATATGGCACACAAAAGTGGAAACACTTCAGGAGTTTTGAAGTCGTCATCGGATTGGTTGAACTGTTTAATTGAACGTTCCACCTGGAAACAAAGATGCCTTGCCGCCAAACCCACTCACAAAAGAAGAAAGCCGTTGTGTTTACAACTGTGACGACGAGCGCTTATCAGAATCAACTTAACGCTGGATTTTCAAAAGTATGTGAAATATTTAAAGTTCTTTAAAGAAATATTATAGAATCTTTAAAATACGTCCGAAAGTTTTACACACCGGTCTGTTATTGTGGCGACATTTCCATGCCCTGAAACGTGACGATCAACGAAACGCACTGTGATTTGTTGTTTGACATGTCGGTCAAACGGCCTCATGGCCAAGGCCAATAAAAGCTGCCATGGATTCCAGACCTTCAACCGTCAGTCTGAAGGTCTGGCTAGGCGAGACTAGTAATACTGAGTCACTGGCTCAATTTATCCCAAAAAGTTAGGCTACATACGTACAGCATTAACTATGTAAAATATATATATATATATATATATATATATATATATTTGGTATACTACAGATAAGATCAACATGGCAATGCAGTACAAAAGAAAAACAAATAGAAAGTTTAATTCAAACATGCTGTACATATATACAAGTGCACATTAATTTACACATACATTTCTGTATCTAAAACGCAAAGATCACAGTTTAATATTTATCTAAATTTTCAGGTAATTAATATGTGTTTTTTGCATTTTTGTTATATTGATGGCATTAAAAAGTTTTAAAATATCTAAAAATAGTTTGATGTATCATTTTTTATATTAGTATAAAATATGAGCATATTATTTAACCCATTCACATGCTCATTTTAGCCCTACCTTGTGGAGTATGACTAACTTTTTTAAAGGGTCATTGTTATACAACCATAATAATTAGATAACTTGTTTTAATTTACATGCATACACAACAACCTGAGGTATATATAGTAACCATAATTAAAAAAAACAAACAAACTTTTATTTATTGAAAAAAATCTCTTCATTCCCATTTGCTTAATTACACAATTCATTTGTAAAAGCCCCTCCCCCCTGCTTGCTTCTCTAATAAATCTATATTGTTTTAAAGATGTTTATCTATATTGTTTTAAATATGTTTGATGCATACCAACAATGTTAAAAAAACGTATTATTTGTGGTGTGAGAAAAAATTATATATTGTATATAAAATGTATATAATACATGTATAAAATTGAAAATCTATAGTGAAAAATGGGTGGTTCGATCTGCTGCTTACACTTACATTGTAAACACATCCAGACCATCTCCAGGTCCCCTGATCACCTCAAAGTAGTTCTGGAGGATGGTGACCGTTCCAGAAAGAGCTTCATGTCCACATCCACAGAAGAGCGCCACTCCAGCATACAGCAGGATGGTGGCAATCAGGGATGGGTAAGGGATTCCTCCTAAACATTTCAGACAACACTCCATACATCCTGAGAGGAGGAAATAAAAAGAGGTAATGTTATTAATCTGAAAGCTACGGCTGGGGAAAACAATATGCTTTTTAATCATCAAGATCTTCAATATGTTTTGTGTGTCTGTATTTGATTCTATTGATCATATTTGGTTTTGTCGTTTGGGTTTTTCTGTGTTTATTAAGTTTAACTTCAGCTGTTTTCTGTCATTTAACAGAGCAGTATTCTTGCACAGAAAGCAAAGCTAGTATAAGTAGTCTTCTGTGCTCTTCTTAGTGTATAGCCCCTGCCTGACAAGACTAGCAAGTACCCAGACGGTTGGAAGTAAATTCTCAATCCATTCACTCTGAGGGTCCAGTTGACTCTCTCTCTGTGTGTGTGTGTGTGTGTGTGTGTGTGTGTGTTACTCTCCAATGATGTGTAAAATTGTCCCTGTGGCAGACTATTTTAAATTCTCCCCTTAGCATCATATACTGTAACACATATATAATACATATAACAGTATGATTCATGAATAACAAAATGAATGGTAGGATGCGAGGATAGACTTTGACACTTTGTCATTCTGATTGAGTTTTTCCAAATTATTGCCTTCATGTCTTTCATTATAGGCCTACTTTAACTTTAGATTTCACATCTCTGCAACAGATGAGACAAGTGCATTATGTTTAGAAAAAACAAACAAACTTGCAGTTAAGTTTATAAGTTTATTACATTTCCTTGTCTATTTAAGTGTGTGATGCATTCTAGGCAAACTGCTTTAAAAAAAATAGCATACATAGTTCTCACTTATCAGTTATGAAATGTTTTAATGTTATGGTATAGTGACAATATTTCAGAATTATGAGATAAAAAAATGTAACATAATTTTACCCTTATTTTACAAATATTTAACTTATATTTTATATTTTTAAATATAATATTTCACATTATTTAATAATTAACATTATTTTACTTATAAGGAATATCAAATCAACATATATTTTCAGCATAAAAAGATAATTTCTATGATATACTTACTAATTACTGTTTTTAAATTACTAAATTTTACAGTAAATCTACATGCATTGTCTTTTTTAACATAATAGCATTTATCACTTACAGTTAATTAATTAACTGTTTTTTACTGTAGAATTTCTATGCAATCGCTCCAAACTGCATTTCTGCAGTGTGGGAAATTTGGCATTTGTACTTCTTGAGGAAAAATACACTTTGATTTCAGCTCGCATATGTTCCCACTCAGTGTTTGTTTGCCAGTACTTATAAAACAATTGCTGGAACTCGCATGATTTACACTGTGCAAGTGTTATGAGCATGGTTTGGTTGAGGCTATTGCTCCGTTTCAGGCCTTTGAATGTGAATTATTGAATACTGTCAAACACCGCTATGGTAATGATGCCGTAATGAACCTCAGACCTGGCTTTACAGCAGCTTTGGCAAGGGATCAACCTGTTGCTATAGCAACTGCTGTGGATTGCAAGGAGTGAGAATACAGACTGATCTGATTCTTTGTAGTGCTTTATAGATCTATAAGTTTGTCCAGCATAAGAAAAAAAGTTGTGTTTAAACGTCTTAAAAACACTGCATTTTTTTAATAATATTTTTTATCAATAATATATTTTTTATATGTGATTTCAAGTATTACTTAAATGTGTGTTTGTATAATTCTAAATAATAAATGTTCATATTACTGTAATTTTCCTCAGCTACATAACAATATTAGCATTTACACAATACTACTTGCCCTTTGGATCCTGTTATGAGATTCTTTGCACTGCTGAAACCACTATATGACTCCTGATTGGCTGAGAGAAATCACATGTTCTGAATCCACCACAAATTGCATTACATTACAATGCAGCCTTATATTCATCACTCAAGGGTGTTAGACCATGAACTGGCATTAGAAATGAATGCAGATTGCACACTTTGTTAATACAAGGCACTACATCTTATTTACGATGTAAATTCTCACAGGATAGCCTCTCTGGCAAGTTTCACAACAGATCACATGCAGACAAAATGTTGCAATCTCATATCTTATATAGTGGAGACAAAACCAGAAATGGTTTGCTGTACCAATGCAACAATGAAACCAAATATCAGTCCAAGATATGAAACTAAACCCTTAAAATCAGTGCAAACATTCTTGAATAGTAATGACTAATGTCTAGCTGAAAAGATACAAGACGTTTTTAGAGATAACATGAACTTCCTTTCTTTTTTTTAACAATACCAGCTAAAACTCTGCATGCATTTTCTGATAGACATTTTTCTGAATAAGTATATGTATTCAAATCAAAAATGATAAATTAATTTCCTTTTATGATTGGATAAAAACTTAGATTCACTGATAAGCTAATCGTAATCTTCACATACACAGTTCAACATTAACAGTTTGAGGAGTCAGTTTGACATTTAATTAATTAATTAAATATACTAAACAATCTACTAAAATTTTCCTGATTAACTTTGCATTAATGCGTTCAGCAAAGTTGTTACTGCTAACTAAAACTTTATGTAATTTCATTAACTATATATATAACTATATATATATATATAGAAAACATTTCTAAATATTTATTCATAGAAATATTTGACACACATAACAAAATTATTACAACTTAAGCTACAATTAAATTAAAATGAAACAAAATACAAACAATTCAGAATATTAATAAACAATAATATATAAATAATGTTAAAATAACACTGGCATTTGGATTTTGTTTTCAGATGTTAAAATGAAAATTATGCACACAAAAGACAGGCCTAACCCTAACAACATAAACAAAAGCACTGTCCTTGAGGGTCCTCTAATAATAAAGCAATCGCTGCTCCCACCCTGTCGCCCCCCACACCTCCCCCCCATGTCCCTCAATCACCCCATCCAACCCCAACGCCCATCTGTCAGTCTGACAGCCACAGTGCCACTCCCACCTCGCCCCACCCCCAACCTCCAATTGATCCCTGGGACTGTGGGGTCACTGAGAACCAATGGTCACCCTGATATCCAGGCATGTTCGGAGGGGAAACGTTCTCAGGACTCTCAAAGACTGCAACAAAACGCTAATCCGCACCACAGAAGGGAGAGAGAGAAAGGGAGAGTGAAGGGATAAGAGATTGCGACAGATGAAAGAATAAGGCAGTGGGAGTCAGAGAGACAGTCAGATGGAGAGGAAAACAGATGCAAGTGTTGGTTAATATGTAGTGAAACTATTTTTATTAAAATATTTTTACCTTTTAAGACCCACTGTTAAACCCTCTCCATTCATAACCAGCTCAATCGGGCCCTCTTCGACCTTTGTTTTAATAGGATTTGAATAATTTGTCAATTTAAAGTGATTAGCATTTCATTACCCTGAATGCCATTTTTTCTGTCCAAAAATAATTCAAATTCAATTGAACTCAATCACATCAAGTGGCTACATGAGGCGTGCTGTGTCTCTATCACTGTCACGGCCCCTCCCTGAAAGCGCGTGGGTTTTCATCACCGCACGTCTGCGTGACGAATCTGCGCATGTTTAATCAACCAGCAGGGTTGCCACGGTGATGGAGGTGCGGGCCCTGAGAATGGGCCGGGCCTGTGCGCGCACCATGACCCACTTACATCGCCGTGTGTCAACACATTCAGCGGCAAACGTGCTGAATGGGAGACACATTTACAAGGATTACAGGGGGGAAAACACAGTCCAGCACCCACCGCAGCAGGAACGGCAAAGACTACATGACTTCACCCAACCCCGCTGCTGATGCTGTGGGTGCTAGAAGATTCTAACACATCCCACATTCATCTGGAAAGGAACCCATTTAGACTCCTTAATATGTTGTTTGTTTGTATCTGGATTTGAAATACATCAAATATGGCATTCTTGTAAAACCCTCTACACTCTACGAAAAGTTTGTAAAAATATTTCCCAATGTACCAAGTTAATAAAGAGTTTTTTTTAGCCGAATTTTGAATCATGTTGCGTTGTGTTGTGTTTTAGGGTTAAACGAAATGTCTGTTATCTTAACGGAAAACTATCTGAAGAACCTGTTTCTTGTTCCACTCTCTGTTCTCATTGTCATTTGGCCTGTTAGAAACAATAGGGTGAACAATACTGCACAGAATTCACTTTCTATGAATAGCCATGATTCAGTTTTGAAGACAATTAGGGAAACTTCAGTGTCCCTGAGAGGTTTGACTAGAGTGTGGGAACAATAGGAGTGTCCAGATTACAGGGTTGCCTCTGCATCACACAAGGTTGGGTAAATGAAAAAAAACAGGAAGGAAATGGGATTGCCAGATAACTTGCATCCCACAGAGGTATATAATTCAATCACGCTTTAATTTCCATTTCAACATTGCCGTTTAAAACAATGTGGTGCTTTACAGAGCCATCAAACCTTAGAGAAAAAGAGAAGTACATTTGCACCACAGGATCGAGACTCGAGGAATATTCAAACAAGTGCTAATAATCCTAGCGTAATGCATCAGCCAATCACAGTTTGCATTGGATATTAACAATGAAACGGGTTTGTTACATACTGAGCAGATAAAAATAGTATAACAACATGCAATGGTGTGCACAAAAATCTCAAAATATAGGTAACAAACATAATGTAGGAAACTAACTATCAAAAATCAGCTCAATACATTTTTTTATGCCAGAAAACATTAACATAAGATTTTAAAATTGCCTGGTTTCTGACGTCAGAATGTAAACAGACATGCACGGAAGACACAAGCATATTGAATTGGCAGGCAAAAACACCTGTGAGGTAATGGGCAAAAAACTGTGTGCTAAACCGTGTATCAACTTCATTTGAAAATATTAGAAAATAGTTTTTAGAGCATTTAGATTGTTACACACATTTGTAAATGCCCTCACACGGTATCTTTCTATAAAAGCACATAATGCAGAAATATTAACTTTATGAACATCTCTTATTAAGATCTTTTCAGTGGATGATGTTACACAGTCAATAGAGACTGATAAGAGCCCATCTAACAGACTGAACTCTGTCAACAGTGGCGATGACAGAAATTTGCAGGAAAAAGTCTTAAATAAAAGATGAGGAGTGGGATGGTATCTGTGTGTGTTATCGGCCTAATGTCTTCTAATCCAATAATCATTAGAGGTAATGAAATGTTCATTCTCCCATGAGGACCGCTTATTCCCCACTCCATCTATAGTGCAGCGGTAGGGTCAGCACACCAGTCAATCTGAGAATACTACAGCTGATTATGCTTTTCTGTTTTGGAGTTAAGAAAATTGTGTTGTAGTCATTGTATCATTAGTAAGTATTGTGTGTTAGGTCAAACGGCACTGAATTAGGGAATTATGCATTATATCTATCTATCTATCTATCTATCTATCTATCTATCTATCTATCTATCTATCTATCTATCTATCTATCTATCTATCTATCTATCTATCTATCTATCTATCTATCTATCTATCTATCTATCTAGCTAGCTAGCTAGCTATGTATATATATATATATAGAGAGAGAGAGAGAGAGAGAGAGAGAGTATCTGGATTTGAAATACATCAAATATGGCATTCTTGTAAAACCCTCTACACTCTACGAAAAGTTTGTAAAAATATTTCCCAATGTACCAAGTTAATAAAGAGTTTTTTTTAGCCGAATTTTGAATCATGTTGCGTTGTGTTGTGTTTTAGGGTTAAACGAAATGTCTGTTATCTTAACGGAAAACTATCTGAAGAACCTGTTTCTTGTTCCACTCTCTGTTCTCATTGTCATTTGGCCTGTTAGAAACAATAGGGTGAACAATACTGCACAGAATTCACTTTCTATGAATAGCCATGATTCAGTTTTGAAGACAATTAGGGAAACTTCAGTGTCCCTGAGAGGTTTGACTAGAGTGTGGGAACAATAGGAGTGTCCAGATTACAGGGTTGCCTCTGCATCACACAAGGTTGGGTAAATGAAAAAAAACAGGAAGGAAATGGGATTGCCAGATAACTTGCATCCCACAGAGGTATATAATTCAATCACGCTTTAATTTCCATTTCAACATTGCCGTTTAAAACAATGTGGTGCTTTACAGAGCCATCAAACCTTAGAGAAAAAGAGAAGTACATTTGCACCACAGGATCGAGACTCGAGGAATATTCAAACAAGTGCTAATAATCCTAGCGTAATGCATCAGCCAATCACAGTTTGCATTGGATATTAACAATGAAACGGGTTTGTTACATACTGAGCAGATAAAAATAGTATAACAACATGCAATGGTGTGCACAAAAATCTCAAAATATAGGTAACAAACATAATGTAGGAAACTAACTATCAAAAATCAGCTCAATACATTTTTTTATGCCAGAAAACATTAACATAAGATTTTAAAATTGCCTGGTTTCTGACGTCAGAATGTAAACAGACATGCACGGAAGACACAAGCATATTGAATTGGCAGGCAAAAACACCTGTGAGGTAATGGGCAAAAAACTGTGTGCTAAACCGTGTATCAACTTCATTTGAAAATATTAGAAAATAGTTTTTAGAGCATTTAGATTGTTACACACATTTGTAAATGCCCTCACACGGTATCTTTCTATAAAAGCACATAATGCAGAAATATTAACTTTATGAACATCTCTTATTAAGATCTTTTCAGTGGATGATGTTACACAGTCAATAGAGACTGATAAGAGCCCATCTAACAGACTGAACTCTGTCAACAGTGGCGATGACAGAAATTTGCAGGAAAAAGTCTTAAATAAAAGATGAGGAGTGGGATGGTATCTGTGTGTGTTATCGGCCTAATGTCTTCTAATCCAATAATCATTAGAGGTAATGAAATGTTCATTCTCCCATGAGGACCGCTTATTCCCCACTCCATCTATAGTGCAGCGGTAGGGTCAACTCCCCAGTCAATCTGAGAATACTACAGCTGATTATGCTTTTCTGTTTTGGAGTTAAGAAAATTGTGTTGTAGTCATTGTATCATTAGTAAGTATTGTGTGTTAGGTCAAACGGCACTGAATTAGGGAATTATGCATTATATCTATCTATCTATCTATCTATCTATCTATCTATCTATCTATCTATCTATCTATCTATCTATCTATCTAGCTAGCTAGCTAGCTATGTATATATATATATATAGAGAGAGAGAGAGAGAGAGAGAGAGAGAGAGAGAAATCACATAAACAGCAAACATGCTAATAAAACACCAAAACACCCCAACAGGTTTAGCATAAATCAGTGATCTTCTCAAATTTCATGTGCTAAATACAGAGGTGGAAATTAAACATAAACAGCAAACATGCTAATAAAACACCAAAACCAGCATAAATTAGCATAAATCAGTGATCTTCTCAAATTTCATGTGCTAAATACAGAGGTGGAAATTAACAAATTACATTTACTCGCATTACTGTAATTGAGTAGCTTTTTTGTGTACTTCTACTTTTTAAAGTAATTTTTTAAATCTGTAATTTTACTTTTACTTAATTATATTTTGTTTGAAGTATTGTACTTTGCTACATCTCTAAAAACACATTAATCATAGAGTAAAAAATCTATTCTGCTGAAGTTGAACTCGAAGGAAATGAAGTGAAGCACTGGCCATATTAATGCTCTATTATGCAGTATAAGCTTCGTTTGCCTAGGGAGACCAAACTAGCAGCTTATAAAATCTCGACATCAACCCTTCGCAAGCATGTAGATAGAGGTAAGCTAAATACTTGCATCATTGCATTGGTTGTTAAAATGAAGTTTTGACAGTTTAGCAAAAGGTTTTGCACAAATTGACCAAAAAGACAGTGGTGCGGGGTGTGCGATGATGAAGCGGATATCGTCCTCTTTTGGAAGGCCAAACAAAGTAGTTTCGCTTTCACAATGAAACACAGCGTTTTCACGACATTGCGGCAGCAGCAACAATACTACAGCCAGAATAAAAGTTACGCCTTCTTTCTTTGCGTGAACATTTGGGCGCCGCTATGCAAATCTTCCCACATCCTGAAATAGACGTGGGGGCGTGTTAGAACGAGCCGTTTTAGGTAGGCGTGGTTTACTCTTAACTTTTATAAAGAATATCTCTTTGGATTTGAGACTTTAGTCTTTGCAACTTTACAGATCTTCCTTACGCACCAAGAGCTTGTAACACTCCAAAGAGAAAGGACAAATTTAAATCGCATCATATGACCCCTTTAACAGTGACTTGCTGACACCTACTGGCGGTTTTAATTTCACATTTAAAGTATCTTTTTATTTTATTTATTTTTTATCATTTTAAATGAGTATTCAACATTTTTTTGTCTTATATATCAAAACATTATTTCTGCATTTGTAACGGCAAGTTAAATGCATTAATGTCCTACATTAAACAGTGTAAATACATCTAAATGCCACTTCTGATGAAGCTTCTGTGTTTCCTCTGCATTGAAAATATGAATTTTGTTGATACTGATTTCATTTGCCTGATAACTGCCCAACTGTCTTATTATTCTAAATAACTGATTCCTTTAATTAAAAACAACTAGTTTGAGATTTATAGGCCTATCCCAGGTGTGTCAAACTCAGGGCCGCAGCCCTGCAGAGTTTAGTTCCAACCCTGCTCCAACGCACATGGATTAGGGTTATATCTAAACTGTGCAGGGCTGTGGCCCTCCAGGAACTGAGTTTGACACCCTTGGCCTATCCCATGTTTGCCTCCCTCCTGCTGTTAAAATGTTACTAAGTAATTTTTACTCTGAGTAAATTTTAAATGAGCTACTTTTTACTTTGAGATTTTTAGACTGGTACTTTTACTTGTACTTAAGTAAAATTTCATTAATGTAATGGTAGAATATTTTCGTACTCTCCACCTCTGGCTAAATATCACACAAGCCCACAGTTCAAGCACAGCAGACCTGACATGGCTGCTATCATCACACTGCTTTAGAAGGGAGGAGGGGAAAATCGCTGAAATATAAAGAGCCGTCATAGATGGAGCGAGAGGAGGAAGAGAGAGTTCCAAAGAAAATTTTTATTCCCTTTCTTTCAGCTCCTCACCATGCAGTCATGTGCAAATATTTTCTCTATAGACCACCAAAGAAGAAAAAAAGACATGCAGTGATTTTCACCCTGAGCTCGAAACCTCAGCCCCTGCAAATGGTGGTATTATAAATAGCAAGCTCCCTCTCACACAAAGCAAACAAATGCTCCTGCACACAAATGAAAGAGCAAGCCAAGAAAATGAAAGAAGGGTTTCCTAGGATGACTATTTAAATGTCCACTGCATGCAGAAGATGGTTCTCCCATCTGTCTCAGCCTCCCTCAGACAGACTGACAGAAATGCGCGGCAAACAAAGACAGACCCATCAGATTGTTCACACACACACACACACACATGCGCGCTCACACGGGATCCATCCCCTGCACACACCCCTCTACAATCATTATCCTATCGAAAATCTGACAATTGTTTTTTTTAAGGACGTAAGTATCATATTTGCTCAGCCAAGTTAACTGCCTGTATTCAAAAACTAAAAATGAATGCACTGCATCACAGTGTTTGCATGAAATACATCAACGGGAATTCATTAAAAATTTGAATTGAAAATATGGCAGAATATGCTGCTTCTTCCATGGAAAAAAATAATAACCTATATTCTAATAGTTTTCATAACCTCATTTTATAATCCACAAGATCAGACACAATGAAAAGCAGTGAGGGATTAGGCACAAAGGTAAATAACACACTCATAAAGATGGATGGGAAAACAATGGAGAAAAAGCATTCTATTACCCTTCTGAGTCTGTCCCTCATCCATGTCCTCCTCCATATTGCCTTGTACTCTGATTTCAGGGGTCTCTACAGTAGTGACCAGTGTTGCGCCTGTGGGTTTAAAGTCCGCTGCTTAAACGCCTTCCCTTGCCTGCTTACCACAATAGAGGCTGAGACTGGCTCTCAATGCACAATTCTCTCTCTCTCAGACTCTCACTCCCTCCTCCCTCTCCTCACTCTCTCACTCCTGCTACTACCCTGTTCCTCACAGAGGAGAGCAGCTGTCAAGACCGATTTTTTTCAGTTGACTTCTCTTGTGTGAGGAAGTTGAAAGTGGCATCTCAGCACGGGCTCGTGCAAACCAGTGTGTGTTAAGACATTCAGACCTCTATATACTTCTATATATGTGTTTATACGAGGTAACACAAGCTCAAGTGTGGGATACGAAAACAAATCCACAACCACCCAAAACATGGAGCAGCACACTGGGTGAACAGAGAAAGGTGGGTTTTTAGGGGAGTCAAGCACCAAGCCAGTAAAAGCCTCCTCAGTACACCCCTTCTCTAAAAGAATGGTTAATGCTGGTTACATCTCTGCTGCATTAAACTCGAGATAAAAACAAGAAATAATCAATAATTTATGTTTTGTCTGTTAATTACCCTATTCAAATGTTTATTTATATATATATATATATATATGAAGTAGATCTATTTGAGAGATAAAAGATCAGAGAGTGAAATTTCAAATAATATTAACAATGACCAGCGCTTCACCCTGAAGATGCTGAGGCTACTTTTTAAGGGGACAGAACCCTTGTAATATTAGCAAGCTTATTAAAGATATGAGCAAAGTCATTTATCCAACCACAAATACATAAATGTAGCTTTTTTGAATGTGTCTCATGTGTACATACTGTACATACTCAGGTTCCCTTGGTACAACATTGCTAAAGCTCACTTTAATGGTATTTCTCATAATTTTCATAACATATGGCCAAGCGTTATAGCAAGACAAGTAGCTTTGCGATCAGTGGAGCTATCGCTTGTCATAGCTCATTCTAAAGTGGTCAGTGACAAATGAAGTACTTTGTATGCATTCTATGCATTTGTTGACATTTACGTATCAACATTGGGTGTGTTTCATTGCATAATGTGACAGGTATCTCTCCTACAGAATTATTGCCAAAATTTTCAAAAACACACATACTATATTTGTAATAATGAATCTAAAATATATTGATGATATCTTGAGTAAGTTTTTTCAGCTTTGCTGCTTCTGTGCGCAACATGGATGAAATATGAATGTATGTGATGAATATAACATCATATGGTGCCCTCACCTGATTCTTTATGTGTGTGTGTGTGTGTGTGTGTGGTGAAATATATTCACTGTCATTCCAGGGAGTGACAAAAACATAAAAGGATTAAAAAGGCAGTTTGTTTTAAGTGAGTTTTACTCATTCAGCCACATATAGTTTGTTAGAACATTCAATCTCGAACAAAAGTGCTATTAAAATGTCTAATTATTGGATTCAGTTTCACAAAATTAACAGAAAAGCCTCCGACCTTTTTTTCAGATCCCAGGTTTTTTTTAATTTTTTATATTGGCCTCTGAATTATGAATTTAGTTTAAATGACTTTTTAAAGCTTTATCTATTTTTAGACAAACATATTCATTTTATTGTATGATTTTAGCTAACTAGTCCACTTTACACTTATTTGAATCTTTAACAAAGAACATCTTGCATTTCGGGCTGATGCACACTTTACAATTGCTACTTGTTAGGAGGAGAGCTAAAATAAAACACTGCCGTCGGTTTAATATTCTGTTTCAGTTGGAAATACGTCACAATATAGAAGTTAAGTAGGTAGCAACTTCTGGTTTACACATACTTTAAATATGGTATTTAAATGTGAGTGTGGCAAGCCGTTTTTGACATTTCAGTATTTCCTAAATCAAGCAGATTGGACTTGGTCTTGGATGGCCAAAATAGCTGCCCGTAGGCATTGCAAACATGGATGCTCAAGTGAACAGACTTTTCTTGAAAGGGAAATTGGCTGGGGTAATTGGCTGTCTGTGATCATGTCTGCCAATTTTTTCTATGATAAAAAAAATTAACTTGAAATTGTTAAGAAAATAGTTATCTTCAATGCTGCAATGTTTGACTACAATGAGTGCATTTCAACTAATTGCCCGCTTATAAAGCTCATCTCCACCATGTAATCATCAATGTACGAAATATTAATCACTAGAAAATGTATTTAAAAAGCTTTTTTAAAGGGGTCATGAATTGAGAAACCAAATTCTCCCTGGTTTTTGTCATACAAGACATACTGTACTATAAAAACATACTGTAAGTTTCAGAGCTCAAAACTTCCCTGTAGTCCAAAAAACAGCTTTTATTGAAAGCAAGCTGCCAAAATGACACTTTTTCTACTTCTGGGTTTTTATTCTATAATAGAGACATTTTATTGTGTATTCTTTGGAAAACCAGTCGCAATTCGATGCAGGCTTTGCAAACAGACTTTTACAAATACGATACGTATGGACTGACAGTAATGCTTGTAAGTAATCATGTTAATTCTAATCATGTACAGTCAGAGTTCTTTATGGCAAAACGATTTATTGCTGTTTATGTGTCAGTGAATCAAGCCAGTGACTAAACAGTCAAGTTCTCACTCTTCCTCTTAGCAGCATGGAAATCATCTGTTATTAAATTTTTATCAAATTGTACACATAAAGCACTCCCGTTATAATTGCTGGAACTGTCAATCACTTCAAGTTAAAGTATTCACGAGAGTGCAGAAATCGAGTTGCAATGCATGGGACTTGATCTACATATAATGCTATAATCAACACTTTCAAGATTAGTTTATCTTGTAAGCTATAATGGTAAACATGTTGTAAAAGTTTTTTAAAAGTTCAACATGTACAGTAATACTTTCATGCAAATGTGCTAAACAATTAATAGCAGGGGGCATCTGCACTGAAGTCTTGAGAGATGAGAAATGCCCATTTAATCAGTGTTCAAATCAGAGGACTAAAAATAAAATGATGTATATAAATTCTAATAGAGCAATGCCAGGCATCATTATGGATATTTACCTGCTGTCTGGAAATGACCCTATTTGTGTTGCAATGTAGTTTTAACAGTGTATGGTTAACAGATACTCAAGTTTTTACTGGCCCCATTACTTCAAATGCTGGCTTATGATCTGCTGACACTTTGAAAGACGCATCAACATGTCCTGGCCAAAATGCTGACAGATTTACTTTCTACCAGCAGTTTTAAGTTCTAAAATTATTGTGAAGGCCGACCTGCTTTCTTATTTAGAATCCAAGAATAGCATCAAGTTGCTACTGAAAGTGTGTTACGGGCCACTCACACAGGACGCATTCTGTATGAACGGCCCCTAACTCAACCCCCCCAAATGACTGCATGTCCTCTGACAATAACAATTTGTCTGATGTGTTGATATACTGCCGTGCCATGTTTAACATTCCTACCCTGATAGGGCTCTATTTCAGGAACAGCATCCCTGCACAGACATAAAAAAACAAATGCAGACTAACATTTGACAGTAAATATAATAGGATACAAGGCATTCTGTATTCTGCTATCACACAGGGTGTTTAAGACAGTGTTTCCCAACCCTGTTCCTGGAGGCACACCAACAGTACACGTTTTCAAACTCAAACCCACCTGATTCAACTCAAGAGCTCGATGGTGGACTCCAAGACCTCAAACGGATGAATCAGACAAAGATACATCCAAAAATCTGTACTGTTGGTGTGCCTCCAAGAACAGGGTTGGGAAAAAATAAAGAACAGACGGAAACACTTTATTTTACTGTCTCTTTGTTACACGTCAAGTAAAATGACATGAAACTAACCTTACAGTAAGTACATGTTGCTAATGAATAGTACTACTTAAATGTATAATTACACTGTAACAAGACACCTTAAAATAAAGTGTAACCAAACATTCATAATTGGCTGCCTGAAAAATGCAAAAAATCTTTTGTCAGTGTGAAAATATGTGTATGTCAATTAATAATTTACAGTCACTGAACAATACTCGTAAATACATAATTTTGATTTTCAGCAATGCTTTGGACATCTATCGATCTATCTGTAAAATGATCTAATAATATCTGATTTTTTATTAATATGATTTTTTATTACATGAAATTTCAGATGAAATGTATTTAAATATACAAAACTAAATATTTCCATAAATAATATAGTAATAGTAACTAAATAATATAATAATATAGTAATAACACACATTTGATAACATTATACGTACAATTAATTACTTATACTAATACATAATGTAATATATTTTAATTGAATAATAGCAAATGAAATATATACTTGTGTATACTTCATTGCATGAAAATAGCAGATTAAATGTATTTACATTTACAGTAAACAGTTATACATAAATAATATTTATATATAACTTGTAAGTCAATAATAAACACATTTGCTATCATTCAATTCTAAAATTAATTTGTACAGTTTAAATTATTTCATAATATGATTTAATCATAGAAAATTAAATTAATTTCATTTGCATGTAGAAGGAAAATGAACTCCAATGTGATTGCCACATGTCATGGAGTCTATGCAGGCACAAACACAGCCACACCCTGGTCCCTGATGATGCTGCTTTTCTGGGAAGGTGGTGGGAGAGAGACGTTGGCTCTCGCTGCCAAGTGTGTGTGTTGTTCGTATATGCATGTGTTAATGTGTGATGCACCAATAAACAATGAGTATGGGGTGGGTTTTGGAGAGGAAATCCAAAGTTAATGAGCGATACTTTAACACCCAATCCCCCTTCTGGCTAATCATGTTTCTGTCTGGATTAAATAAATGAATCCGAACACCCCTCCTCTATCTCTTGAATACATGCATCCTCCCTATTTTGTGCTGCAGGCCCAGAGGAAAAAACACACAACAGATGGCTTAGCAGCCTCTACAAGGGCATCTATCCGTCTACATGCAGTTAGTTGGCAATGGAAAGCATTGCACAAAATGTGTGCCAGTGTGCGTGTATTCTGAAATGCTTGCAGTGAGCGCTACCATCGCCCGCTCGATTATAGCTCTAGCTGACTTGTTACCATGGAAACACACTTTAGATGTCGCCTGTCTAGGAGGCAGCGCATGCACACATACATGTATACACTGAGCACAC